GAAAGAGCACTATTTTTCGTGTGATTTAATGGCATAGAAAGCCTAGCATCTCTTAAAAGCCTCTGCCCAAAAAATATACCCCTAAAATATTATAGGTTTTTTTATTTGTGTTCATTTTATTACGGTTCTTATTCTTTAATGAATATTACGTCACATGTTGACATTGCTTGAGCAAGTGTAATAACTTATTTATTAATTAATAAGACAATTAAAAACGGTAAATGGCCATTGATAAGGCAATACGTATGCCCAAGCCCCATGCCCATTCTCTCGGCCAGAGATCAGAGACTGTGTGGCAGGGCAGGGGGTAAAGGCAGGCGCAAGTGTCTCTGTGCACGTTCGTCGCCGGCTTGTTAACCAGAATCACAGAAGCAGCCGCACCAGCAGCAGGCTCAGCAGGGGCAAGCGGCAGAGAAGCCAAGCACTGGCAGCAGAGTGAGAGAATAACCTGTTTGCATTTGATTTTTGCCAGGGTTTGTGGCTACCCTGGATATATTGAGAGGTATTATTATTTTATCGAGATTTTTATGACTGGAAGCAATGGAAGGAATATTTGGGATGCATTTTTAATTGTCGTGGAATTAATCCACTCTAAATTTGATTCAAAATTTGAAAGATTTTCATAATTTTCATATAATCGAATAAAACTTTTCCGATTGTAGTTCCATAAATCGTCTTGCTATATCCTATAGTTTCTTAATGAAAAATATATCTGTTTAGTGTATCAAAAGCTGCGACCCATAAACCTAGTTCTTGCCCTTCTTGTTGTTCATCTGCTGTCCACTTCGTCCCGCTCTTCCACCATCCTTTGTGCTCTGTGCCGTCTGCTGTCTGCTGCGTTAAATAATTTTATTTAAATCGCGACTGGCAGTGACACTTGTTTGTGCAAACAACCGAACAAACAAACGCAAACCCACAGACACACAGAACGAGAAAGAAAGAGAGAGACGGCGACACAACCGACAATATCGCAAAAAAAAAAAAATAATAAAAAATTCGAATGAACCAACGAACGAATGAGAATGCGAATGAATGTATCTTTTGAATCGTTTGGATGAATTAGCCCCGCTCGTCTCCCCAACCCGTCTGCCCCATCTTTGCCTTTCGCTTCGGATACCCACTTATTAATGAAAACGTTTCAAATGCCACATTTCACATTTCGTGCGCCATTGAATCACATCTCTTTTTTGTATTTTGTATTTTTTGTATTTTTTTTTTTTTTTGTTTTGTATTTTATTCACAAAATACGAATACGTGAATATACAATGAATGCGAATTGGCAGCTCTCTGCCAGCGATGCTGCTGCTGCTTGCCACCGCGATGCTACTGCTGCTGCTTGCCGCCTCTGCTGCGTTCCAAGGTCAAAGTTTGCCTCAGAAGAACAAGAATTTTAGCGCAATTAAAAATAAGCGTGAAATGAGAAGGAAAAAAAAAAACAAAAACAAAACAAAAGCAACAGCAAAATAGCAACAAAAATTGTTTTCAAATTACGTGTGTACGCGAGTATTTCTGTGTGTTTCGGTGTGTGTGTGTGTGTGTGTACCTCTGTTTCTGTTTGTATTCCCGCTGCTGTGCTTTGCGGCCAATTAATTTAAGAATGAAATCGAAATCTTGGCATTACTTTTGGTGGGCGGGGGGTGGAAAGGGAACTACAGATGGGATCGGCAGGGGGCGGCTGGTCAGGGGAATACGTCAATAGAAACGAGAAATTAAGGCTAGCCTTTGGAGGTGAATGGAGCTATGAATACCCCTCGACGAGTGCTTAGGAGATTTAGAAGGAGAGAAATTAGGTGTATAAATTGTTATAGACTTTTGTGTAAGGTTTTCGGTATATTAAATCCATAAGATACGGACCTACGGATGCTGAAAGATTTTGAGCAAAATTAAGAATGGGATTCCTTCAGCACTTCCTTCTTCTTTCTATCCGGAAAATGCATAAGCATTGGCATATTCATATACATCATCCCCTAGGGTATACCAAAAAAATATATACGTGTGTATTTATTTTTATTTTTTAATTTATGAAGCAATTTGAATACGTTTTTTATGGGCAACATTTACACCTTTTAATGGGATTTCCAGCAGCCTCAAATGACATGGGATTTATTGCTCAATATCGCACTAGTTTACGCGCAATTTAATGCCAATTTCCACTAGTTATTGATATTTAGAGATCGAAGAATAAGAATTCCATTCATTGAGAATGTATTTCTAGCATTTGTTCTGATAGTTTAATATCTTTTTATAGCCACATCAAAGAATTTTCCCTATAATTCATTCTTAAAAAAGATACCAAAGAAATAAAAAAAGGCACAAAGAATTTACAACCAAAAAAAAAAAAATAATAGTGTATATCAAAGAATCAGGGAGGGAATGACGCTTACATATTCCCAATGATTGCCAAAGATACAGACATACATATGTATGTATGTATGTATATGAGATATATAGAGGGACCTGTGTTTTTCTTATTGGCAATCACTGGCCCCGATTCCCATCCCCGCGCGTTGTGTGTTTTCGTTGATTTTTTTCTATTTTGTTTTTCCCCCCCCCCAATTGTTGATCATTCTCGAAAATTGTTTTTGAGTACCGGACATGACGTCAATAAGTGGGCGTTTGTGTTAATTTTCCTTATTTTATAACCCCCTGTAGAGGGACGAACACTTTTGACCATTTCGTAGTGCTCTTATATTTGTGTAGATCTCTCTATAAATACGATATTTGTTGGACTATAAGTCCTATAAAACGTGCACCCATGGCATAGATCTTTCAAACACCACACACACACACACACTTGTGGGTACTGCTGTTCCCATGGGATATATACACATCTATCACTGGATTCTTCTCTTTCTCTATACGCCCTTTTTATTCCTCTCTACACAACATTATCACCACTATAGCTCTGTATCTCTATAAAGATCTCTCATAGTAATTTTTTTTTTCTTTCCTTGTTTTTTTTGGGCAAATATGCCCCCCATTGGCGCTAGAAACAATTTTTATGGCTCACTATAATAATAATAATAATAATTCGTTGGCCTTTTTTATCGCTTCGATATGGGAATATACTTTGTACAGTAAACAATTTTTTTTTCTTTGTTTTGTTGCAATTTTTATGGAAATAATTTCCTGTATTTCCTTATTTGCCAGCGCCAACGAGTGCTCTTTAATTATGTGTGTGAGCAAATGTTTATCTATAATACGACAAAGAATAGAATATAGTATAACTCTAGATATCTGCCTCTCTCCTCTGGTAGATCATCCTCCTCGTTCTTAGACATTTTTCTCCCCCAGAGATTGTCTTCTCCTCTGAAGATAATGTTCCTGGTGTCGAGATCTTACTCTTCTAGCGATCATTCCCTCTTCTCTGCCTCTAAAAACTTTCGATCTCTCTCTGTGTTGTGGAGCAATCGATCGGGGCACATTACTCATACGCCGCATGGACCTGGAACGGCAGTGTAGCCGCAGACCCCAAAAAAAAAAAAGATTAATTTTTGGGATCCATTAAATCCATGTGTTCTTGTTGTTGTCTGGCTATAAAGCTGACAAAAACATGCAATAAAAATACAGTTGTTTTGCCATAAAAATATGCCATAATCATCATCACATCATGTCCAGATCTAGGGGGATATGAAGAAAGCATCGATCCCAGTTCAAAGTTCAATCATTCGCGAATACAAATCTAGAATTTTTAGATCTTTTTACGCTAATTTTTTTTCCATTTAATAATGAAAGTTATGTCCATTTTTATATGGCCCAACGGAAATACTGAATGGAATTTGTGGAAGTAAAAAATATAATAAAATTCTAGAGGACAGATAGCAGCCGGCACCGGCACCGGCACCCGGCGGGGTTAAAGCAATTAAGACAGATAATGGGGGTTACCAAATGTCGAGGGCGACATTCGAAATTTGTTTGTATTCTCGAACGCACAGAGAGAGGAAGAGAGAGACAGAGAGATTACAACTGAACAGATCTCTTTCTGTTTGGCAGCAGAAAAAAGTCAGAAAAAAATCTCTCAAAGTAATTTGATCTCAAACTCTAGATCTCTAGCTGCTGAACCGTACCAAACCCACGAATTCTATAGAAATTTTAAACCTCAAGTCTGACCAAACAGCAGAGAGACATAATCTTCATTTCAGGTGAAACTCCAAAAACGAATTACGAGAAATATAATTATTATAATAATAAAAACAAGAAAAACTTCAAGATTATGCTCTGTACAAGTTTTATATCTTTAGAAGTGTATAAAAGATACGTTTTTTGTTTTGTTTTTGTTATTGTTTTTTTTTTTTTTTTTGCTTGGGCATTGACCAACATTTTTCATGGCTCTTTCTCTCTAGTTTTATTTATTTTTTTGTTTGTTTGGAAATTAATTGCACAACATTAAGTCCGTAAATTAAGATGAAAATGTGCAAAAATTAAAGCAGCAAAAAGTTCATTAAAAGCAAAGCAAAACTGTACTTTGAACCTAGGCACGCCCTGGTTTCTTTTAGAGCGAACAGACCCCAGACCTTGTTTGTTTTCGGTTTATTTGTGTATATTTTTGGGTGCCCACGTGATCTACGTGATATTTTGATTAATTGTTGATATTCTAGCAGTTTCTTGGGGATCAAAGACCCTAAGATTTTAGTTATTATATGCATGGAAATAACTACAAAAGAAAACTTGAACTTGAACCCAAGCTATCATATACATATGTATATCTTTGGATTATAATAGACTTAAATTAATTCAAAATTATCTTAGAAATATCCCTAAAATAAGCCACCAAATATATCCAAAAAACTAATGGAAATATCTCTCTTTATTTTTCGGTTACAGATAGCAATCGTGGCAAAAAGGCAATCACTGCAAAAGGATGAAGGCAAATCGAGCTGATTCCGAGGGCAGAAATTACCATCGAAGGCATTGAGAGACCAGAGAGAGAGAGAGAGAGTGAGATAGAGAGAGATCTATCAAGAGAAAGGATATATATGCAATAGAGAGAGATAGAGCTCTGGAGGAAGAGGAGACGGCGGAGAGGAGTGGAGAGGAGACGGGAGAGGAGAGAGAGTGAGAGTGTAGAGTGGAGAGGAGCGGTAGCGGGAGTATTGGAGTACAACACTACATGGATCGCAGAAATGGCGGCGATCCCTTGGCGCCACCCCGGCCCCCGAAGCTATTACCGCGCGTGCATCGACCAAGGGCGCCGGAGCCGACATTAAGTGGTGTCCAAGGAGGAGCATCCGTGGCATCCACAGCAATCCACAATAATAATTCACAGCAGCAACAACTTAGTATTAACGCAACGACGACAGCGACAGCGACGACGACGATAAACAATAACACGATATCGATAATACCCGCATCACCGATTTCGGCCGATTACGATTCCGATTATCAGATCCATCATCTGACATTTCTGCCACAGCGACCGAGCAGCTTGAGTCGCAACAGCAGCAACGCCTCCTCATCGACAGCGACAGCGAATAGCAGCAGCACGGGCACGGGCTCGGGCTCCATTTCCGTATCCGGTTCGAGCTTCCGCAGACGTCCGCCAGCACCGGCGCCGCTGCTGAGCCTAGCATCCGCGTCGGAGAACAACAACTTCCTTAGTCATTTCCAAACCAGCGCTGATCAACCAGTGCCCCAGTCTCCAGTCACACTGGCGCAACCGCGACCCGAGTCCGAGAGGCTAACGAACGAGTATGTGGACACGCCGCTGCAGCATGCCACACGCATGCAGCATCCGGCTGGGCAGCAGGATAATGGCCAAACGACAACGCATCATTTGCTGTTGCTGCCCCAAAGGCAGCAGCACCATCAGCATCTGCAGCACCTGCAACACCCGCATCATCATCAGCAATCCTCCTTTGCTCAGCAGCATCAGCAGCAACCTCATGTCAGACTGGGAGCGACGACGACGACGACAACGACGACGGCGACGCAGGGAGGAGCAGGAACAGGAGGAATCGATCATACCGATGGCTTATTACATTCACATTTGCACTCCACAACGCCAGCGCAACAGCAACAGCAGCAGCATCACCTAAGCAAAGGACAACCCGCCACAAAGCCTCGACTGGGACTGGGATTGGGATTGGGTTTGGGTTTGGGATTGTCCCAGCAGCCCATCACGCAACCCATCATCACCAAGCAGCCGACAGCCACAACACCCGCCACGCAGACACAGACGAGCAAGGAGCATATGCACGCGTTGGAGGAGCTCCTGCAAGCACAGCCCGGCAGCGGAGGGGGCGGAGCTGGACCCATTGTAATGGGTGGCGATCCCACGCTAATGATACCCATTGTGTGTCCGCGGTGCGGCCGATGCCGCTGCGAGCAGTGCCAGAGTCCGCGACCGCTGCCACAGACATGGGTGTGCAACAAGACGTGTCTGTGCAGCGCCGAGTCCATCATCGATTATGCCTCCTGTTTGTGCTGCGCCAAGGCGTTGTTCTATCACTGTGCGCGGGACAACGACATGGACTGTGACGATGGCAACGGAACACCCTGTGTGGATAATCCCTGCTCCTGCGGCCCCTACAAGCGCACCCAGAGATGGGGATGGCTGGGGGCACTGTCGATTGTGCTGCCATGCCTCTGGTGCTATTGGCCGATGAGGGGTTGCATGAAGCTCTGCGAGAAGTGTTACGGCAGGTTTGCGGGACGCGGATGTCGCTGCCAAGGCGTGGGTGGGGCAGGAGGCGGAGGCATTGGTTCCACCAGCAGCATGCTGCCGATTGTCCCGCTGGGCGTGAATGGAGCCAATGGAGGACTCGGCGGTGGCCTCAATGGGGCCACCAATGGAGGGCAGATCGGAGGAGCGGGAATGGGACCCTTGAGCCAGGCCAATGGCAAGGCCATTGATCATGGCTGCAGTGCGGCCGCCAGTCGTATCCTTCGCAAAGGCGACCTCACACCCGAAAAGCGACTCCTCGACTCCAGTCCGGATTACTAGAAAGGGGTACACAAATCTAAAGGGAAAATCCCGTTCTGGGTTCTGTGTGTGGTTTTTCCCTAGCCGAAAAAACCTCAAACACAGGGCAATGAAAATTTAACAAGAAGGAGCTGGAATCTAGAGATAAATGTGGTGGCACCCCAACCCAACCCCTAAAAATATATATATATATAGTATATATACGAAAGAAAATATTTAATATATGAATTAAAGGATATAAAAAAGAGGAAAGAAAGAGAAAAAATTAAATAACCAAAGACTGCAAACAGATAATTATTAATTATTAGAAATGTTATTTAAAAAAAATATAATTTTTTGCTTAATTAAATGAAAAAAAAAGGGAATTGAAAAAGAAAAGCGAAAAAGCTGAAAAGAAAGGAAAGACCGAACGAAGAATTAGGGATTCATATTTGGCTTTTTATGATGTGTTTTTGTATTATTTTCGCTTTTCGCTTTTTTTTTTTAATTTTTAAATTCAATGTTCAATTTCTAAGTCAAATTTTTAATTTTTAAACAATATATTTTGTATGTATAAAATGTATTCCAATGAATTTTTCAATGCGAAAAACACATACACACACACAAATGTTTGTATGGGGAAAAAAACGAGAGTAGAGGAAACCTTTTTTATTTTCATATACAAGAAAAAAGAAAAAACAAAAGAAAAACGATTTGAAATGAGGCATAACACCAGAATGTATAGTTACCATATAATCCAATATACAACATATACTACGGAAAGGCAAAAGAGAAGTTTTTAGAGAAATATTACAAATGGCATAAGAAAATTGTAGTCGAAAAATAAATATTATACCACGTCCATTTTTGATGTTGTAGCAAACACACACACGTTAAATATTATACGAATTTAAAGAAATTTTATCTTAAATGAATATTGATGTAAGTGCCGTAATTTTTGGAAACCACACCATAGACCAGAATCTACTACTACTACTCGTGTCGTGTGTAAATGGGCTTATATAAAGGATATATAAATAGCGAAATCTATTGGTATTGGCAGCCGGAACAAATCTGTTTGAGAGAAGAACACTACTATATATGGGAATAATAAAATTAGTTTCATATGAATGTATTTTATAGATGCTATATCGTACCCCCGAAATCGAAAGCAAACACGAATTAATTGTACATAAAAGAAAAAGAAAAGATATTCCAAATAATAGCAGACAAAACTGAAGTAACAACTGAAAAGAATGAAAGAAAAGCCAAGCAAAACTTAAATGTAAAATGCAGCAAAAAATCGACAAATTTTTTGTATAGAAACTATCCATATGAAATATGATACAAGAAACAAAAACAAAACATTTAAAAAATAAAAACAAATACAGTGGCAAATTAGCAACTTAAAACGCAAAACAATTTATATGACAAAAAAGATTAAAGTAAACTAAATAAAAATTAAATATTAATAAACAAAACACTAAAACACACATTACAATATATATATTCGCTGTATATATCTGTAATCTGTATATGTACTATATATAACTATGATATATATACGATACGATACGATATGCCTAGAAATACCTATGCTTAAAAGAATCCTAACTATTAAAAAAACAAAAAATACAAAAATGCAAACACACAAAAAATGCAAAAAACAGAAAAAACTCCACAAAAACAAACTAAAAGAAGGGAAGGAAAAACAGAGGAAAAACTCCTTAAAGATTTAGTTGGTAAAATGCGCAAAAAAAAAAACAAAACAAAAGAAACAGAAAATATTGATACCATAAACCATAAACAACTTTAAATATCTAAGGCACACCCCCCCCCTCTATACATACAAAAACAAATTTATGCTATAATGAATATTTATTTTATTTGTACATTTCATTATAATATTACACAATAAAAACTGAATAGAAAGGATGGAATGATAGTTGATAGAAGATGATGAATGGATGGATGATGGATGGATCAGGATCCTGTGAGAGCATGAGAACCAGAAGAACTTTATGTAATGTTTTTAGAATGTATGTTCCGTTAAAAACTACAAAATAAAAAAATCATATAATACTAAAAAAAATAATATACAAAAAATTGTGTTCACTTTTTTGCTTTTCTCTCAAATGCAACAGAGCCCCCATGCCCATGCCCTGGGATCGAATGGGATCTCTTTTCTCTCTCTGTCTCTGTTTCTACTTCTCTGGCGGAGAGTAGCTGTGTGTGGTGTGGCTCTCTCTGTCTGTATTGGTGTGCCAAATGGCTATGGCAAAATAAAACTAAAGCAGCTGTTTCCGGTATTTGATTGATAGTGAACTGGCAGTTTGTTTATCTCGCGCACACACGGACCCCGAACCGAACCGGACCGGACCGACGGCCGATGCTGATGCCGATGCTGATGCTGATGCCAGGGCCCCAGAACGCTACAGCGATTCTCGTTTGGATTGGGGCTGCCACACACAGATGCTGTTGAACGAACACACACAGACACACACACACGCAGATATGTACTATAGCAGAGGCAATGCTATCCAGTGGCAAGCAACGGCTGTGGCTGTGGCTGCTGCTGCTGCATTTTGCGGATGCTATTTGGGGCCGCCGTCGGCGCACTTATTTTTAAATTACTAAAAACTGAGAAAAAAAAAGATATCAAAAAACATGTAGAAATCATTCTGTAGATGTTTGCAGACTACGGCAATACCTGTGGGCAGATTTTTGAAAGATTTTATATGCATTTTTAAGGAAATATTTAGACGGAAGCGACATCGAAATGCGGATGCAGTCCCAGTTTTCTCCATGGTATAATCTCAGAGATCGTTTATATCTCTATTTGTTCATCCATGACTAAAGGTTCGGAAGTGCATTCTTCTACAGAAATCCAATCCAACCTCCGTACACTTACAGGGTATTAAAAACTGTTGCCGCCACCGCTGCTGCTGATGCTGGTGCTGCCTGCTGCCTGCCGCTGATGTTGACGAAGCGCTGCACAAACATTGCGGGCGGTGGCACACCGACAACCTACGATGAAAATTTACAACGGAAGGCGCGCATCAAATGTTGCAAGCACACACATACACACACCACACACAGTCGCATTAAGAGAGAGAGAGAGAGAGAGAGAGGAGAGAGGAGAGATGTGCCTGTGTACTTAATTTAAATTTAACTGCAAAATATTTTCACTCGCACTGGAAGGAAGGGAGGAAGTCGTGACGAAAAATTATTTCGCATTCCCTTCCTTTCATTTGATTTGATTTTAAGCGGTGAGGGGATAAGAGTTTCAGATAACGTGGCTCTAGGAACAGCTGATTGGGAGGGGCTTACAGCTGTGCGAGACAAGCCTTTGAAAGTGTGAAGATTGATAGGATTGATAGGATTTGAGTTGCTAAAAGGAAGAGTGAATTTTTGTGCTTAAAGTTGCTGAGCTGCACTCGTCGAACAGAGGGCCCTCGCCCTGGCCACACGCTTAAGATAAGCCAATTTGGTTTAGATAGATCTCTAAACTTATGATACATTATACGCCCCAACGCGCCTCTGCTTAATAATACTCTTGCTTGATATTCGTTAGGAATTCTCTGAATAAAAATACATCTATTAAGCGGTCTCAGCACGTGCACAAAATTGTGTCAGCTGCTGCTCAATGATGCGAAATGAAATTCACTTGGTTTTTGCATTGTTTTGGTTTTTTTTTTTTTGTTTGTGTTTGTGTTCGTTTGAGTTTTGTTTTGTTGTTAATTAATGCAAAGTGCAGTAACCGTTTTGCATAATTGAGGACTGCGACGACGACCGCGACGACGTCCCTCAGTTGGTGGGCATTGGGGCATTTCATTATTCAATCATAATTCGCGCGCTCAAAAACCGCGAATTACACAGCGAACAGTTGAGGCACGAATACTCGTAGTACCGAATAGTCGTCGTACCGTACGAGTGGTGTATGCGCCTGCCTCTGTCACTGCCACTGCCTCCGTCTCCGTTTCTGCCTCTGCTCTGTGTGTGTTTGTTCATGTTTTCTGGACGGTGATAACCGAGCGTTTTCGCCCCCGGGGTCTGTTGGGGTCACTTTGGGTAGCAAAAAAAAAAAATAGAAAAAAGGCAATAATAAAAGAAATATGAATATATACTTGTAATCAGCGGACGGAACGGAACGGGACGGGACGACTCTAGCGGCACACTACACAGAGAGTGCTTCAGACAGCCGCTCTGTGACTCGTCTACGATAAGAGTTCTTGCTGCTGTTGCACGAGACCGACCTGCCAATTCGCTTGTAGAAAAAAAAAAACTCGCTCTGATTGACACACTTTGAATAAGAGATGGATGAATGGCACAGAGAAGACACTCCCAGATAGATCCAGTGCAGTAGTGGCACTCCGATTGAAGTGCACTGAACGAGAGCACGAGAGACTGCCAATTCGATGGAAAGCAGTGGCAAAGTGTGACTGTTATTTGATCATCAGATTTCCCTATAAAACTATTAATGCGAGAGTATCGGTATGCCATGGAATTCCTTTGAAGATTCATTCAAGGCACGCAACGAATCAACTCAAGTTTTGAATCATTTTCCGATGAATGATGAATATCTATCTCGTGGGATGCATTGATGGGTGTTTGCTGTTGTTTAGCACTGGAAGGTGGCAATCCAATAGAACACGCAACGCACATGGAAGCAACTTGCCTGTAGCATTGATAGAGATACGCTCAATCAGTGGAGCGTCTCTCACTCTCTCTCTCTCTCTCTCTCTCAGTCTCTCTGTCTATCTTTAATCTCTAAGAAATACAAATGCATGCATATACATATATTTCCATAGTACTTTCGTATAATTATAGCCTATACCCCCACAGCCCCCACCACTTTGGAAAAGATACGTTTTGCGCATTGCAGACATGCTGGAAGCTCTTGAATGACAGATCAATGAAATCATTATGCATTTCGCTGAAAACGAAATCTCATTCCAAGTCCCATTCCCACTCCCATTTCCCCTCTCATTCGTCGCTGAAAAATGCCAACTCATTTCTGGAATTGGGAACAGGTTCAGAAGGATCCTTGGGGCCAGGCCGGCCGGCCGGCCGCAGCGGAAGTTGGGCTTGTGGTTAATTTTCGTATGCATCCCGCGTCTCGATCGATCGGTTCTCTGGTTGTGCCTCTGCCTCTCGCTTTCCCTCTTCGTCTGTTTTCTGTTCTTTTTGATGTTTGCTCCTTTTTTTTTTTTTAGGTATGAAGTGGAGTGGCA